CACAGTCTTACAGCTTCCTTGTAAGGTAACAAACATGTTGCTCTGAGCTTCTTAACTTAGAACGTAAATGTCATACGTGCGCTACTTTCCTTGTTATGTACATCTGTGGTACACTTGCATCAGTGGAAACATTTATGCTGAGTGAACATGTTACATGGCACACATACCTCCCTGAGCAATATATAGCTTTCCCCTGACATATGTTCCTCTCATGCATTCAAACTTGAAACTCCATAGGATAATACAGTGATTATGAAAACTAATAAAGAATAATAATAAAGATACATAATATTTAATAATGAAATAATATTAAAAGATGAAATTTTAGTCTTCAGCTGCAAGCACAGTGTTTACGTTACAGCACACCAAAGCTCTCCTGTCGTCACTATGTTGCTACCAGAGCCCAGATCTCACTCTACCCCTAGCTATTCATGCAAATTTGTGGGCAAAGCTTCCTGGGGTATCAGAATGTGTGCTGAACATTATAAAAAGAGGCTATTCGCTGAAGTTCACTCGAAACTACGGTAAAAACCGAAGTAGTCCATCCACTTTAAGCCGAAATAGTGAAACTATTGAGCAAAGGGGCAATAGAGCCCCTCATCACAGATCCTTCCGCTGAGACACTATAGTCCCGCTCAGAAGGTTTCAGAAAATGCTGGGTCTCATGGCCTCAGCATCTTCAGTCCATCCAGTTGAGTCTGCCTCGCCAGCGCCCGCTGCAGTTATGGCTAAAAACGTGAGTACCACCTCGGGCATGGGCCTCCGGTCTGTTTCACCTCAAGGTCAATCAGAAATGCATCACAGCTCTGAAGCCTTGGAGAGCAATTGAGTGGTACCAGTCTGGTATAGGAGACATTCGCAGAGTGCAGGTAGACCTGTTTGCGTCCCAAGAAAATGCTCACTGTCTGAAGTTTATCTCCAAGAGCAGGGATGCGCTGGCCCATGCCGGGCCCCGCTGCTTGCTCTATGCTTTTCCCCGTCTCGCTCCTGGCTTAGGTATTGGAACGAATAAGGGAAGGCGGATACTCAGTGCTACTTGTGGCTCCACTCTGGTAAAACCAGGCTTGATTCCCAGTTCTGATGCAGCTGACAAGCACTGCCCCATGGCCAATATTGACGAGGAAAGAGCTCCTCTCTCAGGCCAAGGGCTCGATTTGGCATCCTCGCCCAGAGCTGTGGTCCCTGCACACATGGGCCATCAACGGGTACCCGCAAACCTCCCGGAGGGAGTGTTAAACATGATCACGCAGGGTAGAGCGCTGTCTACTAGACGACTCTATTCCTTAAAATGGTCTGTGTTTTCTGGCTGGTGAAAAGCCTGAGGCTTTTCACCAATAGGAAGTTCTCACCTTCCTTCAAGAGCTACTGGATAAGGGCAGAACCCCATCCACACTCAAGTTTACGTGGCGGCCATAGCTGCATTTACAAAATCCTCAACTGGCCACTCACTGAGGAAGAACTCTCTGGTCATCCGCTTCCTTAAAGGGGCTAAGAGGCTGGGTCCTCCCAGACCCCCTCAGTCCCAATGTGCGACCTTTCCATGGTTTTGGAAGCCATGAAAGTATCCCGTTCGAGCCAATCCACTTGTCGGACATAAAACATTGGTCATTCAAGAAAATGGCTCTTGCTTCAGTGAAGCGCATAGTAGATTTACAAGCGCTCTCAGTAAGCGAGTTGTATGGAATTTGGGCCAAATTACTCGAAAGTCATACTCAAACCAAGACACTGATATATGCCTAAATCCCTCAACACACCGTTCAGGGCTCAGGTTATTTCTCTGTCCACGCGAGCTTCCTATGCCCAGTCAGGGCATTGTTTTCAGACAGACTGAGTAGCTCTTCATTTCGTTCAGCGGACATGCTAAGGGACTAGCTGCATCGAAACAGAGCGTATCCAGATGGATAGTTGATGCCATAGCGCTGGCTAACATGTCTAAAGGCTTGAAGTGTCCTTTAGGTGTTAGAGCGCACTCCACAAGAGGCATGGCCTCGTCGTGGGCTTGGCCTAGCGGGATTCCCTTGCAGGATATATGGATATGTATGGCGGCAGGCTGGGCCTCCTTGTCTACATTTATATGGTTTTATAACCTAGAGGTTCTCGCTTTACAGGCTAAACTACTTTCGGTCTAAAATCAGTATTGTCTGCCCCATTGCTTCAGCTCAGAATACTGCAACCGCTTGAGCACCACTCACTGATCGATAAAATTACTCCTTTGGCAAAAGTAAGACCCATACCGTCACCCAGTTCAGGCCGAACATTTTCATCCTGACTGTGTGAAACAATGATATGCTTAATGTGATTAGCTCCCTTAGGACGCTAACTTATTGGGACTGACTTCTAGCCTCTCTTCTCAGAGTCTTTGTGAGTCCCTGGTGATTGTGCACTAAATGAGCCCCGGGCACCTGGCCTTGGGACTTTGGTGTTGGATCCCAGCACACAGCGTTTTACACTGTGTTCCCCTAGCGTAAAATATTACGCAGTATGAGAGAACCTCTCGTAAGAGAACGTACTCGGTTACTGACGTAACCTCGGTATCACTAGAAGAGGGAATGAGTACTGCGTATCTTTGCCGTGCCTGATTTTTATCATTCTAGGGTGGTTTTGCTCACACACTGCCAACACACATTTATGTTCAAACACCATGTAAAAGTGAATTTTCCATAATAGGTGCCCTTTAAAGCATCAACAATTATCCTTTGTAAAATCCTTTGAAAAATTATCCTTGGACCAGCAGTTATGGGCAGTATTTCCCTCAACCAGAAGCAACCAGAAGCAGCAGCAGGAAGTGGTTTGAGTGAGAAAATCTCACGCCATGGCCATGTAGTGTTTTGAAAGAAGTGTTTTTTTTCTGATTCTGTTAGAATGTCATATAAAGCACCAAAAAATAAGCAAAGGGACAATTAAATCAGATGAAACTTAATGTAAAGGAGGAAGACCAGAGTATCTCTCGTTATACTCTTGCTATATTTAAACACAGTCATATAATATTAGTGGAAAGACTGGAAACATAGGCTAGAAATTAAATTATGCTGTAAATATTCTCTAATAAGCTCAGTGCTGGCACGCATGGGTACTGGAGATGGCAAATGATTTTTCTTTTGATCAAGTATAAAAAAATTATATTGATCAAGAGTTGTTGCCATGCCAACTCCATTTATGCTCTGACCATGAGGACATATTTTCTGCATACAGATTCATATCTGACATCACTCTACGTGGAATCTGGAGTGAACAACACAAACATAAGGATCTAAGCAGAACATTTGTAATGTGATGATAACACAAGCAAAATGTAGCCTACATACTGTTGTCAAGTAATAGAAAGAGAGTGTTTAAAATGGGAAATCAATTTAATTTAGGAATATTCCAAGAATGGATAGCCTATATAACATTAAAATTGGAAAAATCAGAAAAGACAGGCTAAACACATTACAGCATATTAATAACTTTATAATAACATTATTGTGGTCTTATTAGCACAGAGGAAAAAACCCAAACACCAGAAACAAACAGATAGCTTGTGTGTATGGGATGTGATAAGCTTTACACTGACTTATGATCAAAACATGTACTAGAAAAGGCTATTAGAATTAAAATAGGCCTACAGTTTTATAATAAATAAATAGCTTTTCTCCACTAGATGGCATTACGTAACTATGTGCAAATGCCACCTAAACAGAACACCTGGGGGCTGTTTCATAAAAGTCGCTTAAAAGCGGGGATTAAAGTCCAAAACCTGACTTGAATGAGCCGAGCTAAACATCCGCGCTTAAATTGGTTCCATAACAGTAAATTGAGGATCATATGATCTTACTAATTTGAGTCAGGTTTAAATAGTCTAGATAATTGCGCGTGCACGCCATTCTTTAAAAGTCCTGAAAAGTCGAGCATGGGTCAATCGATTTACTGTGGGCTACCATGGCAACAAAAGGAAAAGATAGAGCAGCGATGTTCACGGCAACGGAACAGCGTTTGCTATGGGCTATATGCACGCATAAGTTCCGCATTTGACGCAAGGATGCTCGTCCATTTCCGGTTGTGGAGATTTTAGCGGCAATAAATAAAGCAAGAGAGAAAGTTTGGCAGGAAATTGCTGATCGTCTCAATGCGTAAGTAGCGGTGTAAACTATTTAAAATACTTAAACATTTAATGTGCGTCACAATACATTGCAAAATTTGTGTGTGAATAACAGTAACGTTAATTGCTTTCACGCAGCAGCAACTTAAGTGAAGGAAAAAGAACCTGGCAGCAGGTGAAAATAAAATATAAAAATATAGTCTGAATGGTACGGAGGCGTATTGCATTCACTTAGTACGGAGGCGTATTGCATTCACTTGAAGAAAAAAAAATCTACTCTGTTTTTCCGAATTAACGAGTTAATTTTTCATGAGAAAAAAAAATTGCTCTGTTTTTCTGAATTAACGAGTTAATTTTTCATGAGAAAAAATTTTTTTGCTCTGTTTTTCTGAATTAACGAGTTAATTTTTCATGAGAAAAAAAAGTTTTTGCTCTGTTTTTCTGAATTAACGAGTTAATTTTTCACGAGAAAAAAAGTTTTTGCTCTGTTTTTCTGAATTAACGAGTTAATTTTTCATGAGAAAAAAAAGTTTTTGCTCTGTTTTTCTGAATTAACGAGTTAATTTTTCATGAGAAAAAAAAAGTTTTGCTCTGTTTTTCTGAATTAACGAGTTAATTTTTCACGGAAAAAAAGTTTTTGCTCTATTTTTCTGAATTAATGAACTCCTTCAAAATCCTGCCAGGATCTCTATTTTAGCTGGATTGCATGGAGGAAACATGCCTTCGACTACGCACCTTTCTAGTTTAATCCGATTTTATTTTACTTTGGGTTTGAGGCATTGGGAGATACTGCTGTCTTTAAGTAATATAAATGGCATTGTTATTAGTACGTCAACTTTGCGCAGACACCTCAAGACTTTGCGCCTGTTCAGACGAAAAGAACATTCGGATCTGCTGGACATTGCTGTGTTTCTCCAGGATCAGCTGAACCGATATGGTATGCTTCACGGATACAAGATGATGCATCTGAAATGCATTCAGGCTGGCTACGTGGTGACACAAGAGACAATCAGGCAATTGTTGAAAATACTGGATCCCCATGGAGTGCAACTGAGGCGCCGGAATCGTCTTCGGCGACGTTTGTATCATAATCCAGGCCCGAATTTTTTATGGCATGTTGATTCATACGATAAACTCAAACCATATGGGATCTGCATCAATGGTGCAATCGACGGGTTTTCACGAATGGTGATATGGCTACATGCATTCTCTACAAGTAGTGATCCCAAGGTCATCGCTGGATACTTTATTGATGCGGTGTTATCAAGGAATGGGACAGCCACCCGAATTCGCTCAGACTTGGGGACAGAAAACTGTTACATTGAACAGATGCAGATGTTCATAAGACATGATCATACGGATGATTTTTCGAGAAATTGCTATTTGTATGGCTCAAGCAATCATAACCAACGGATAGAGCAGTGGTGGGGATTTTTGAGGAAGCAGCATGCACAGTTCTGGATCAACCTATTTCAAGATCTAAAAGATTCTGACGACTTCACCGGTGACTTCCTAGACAAAAGTCTAATACAGTTCACATGTCTTGAAATAATAGAGGTAAGAAATGCGCTTTAGACATGTAAATTGTGTTATGTTATTCAGCTACTACAGATTTTGCCCATACGCCAAAATGTTGACATGCAGCATAATTCTAATTTCATTGGTCTAACAGCTGTTCCATAACAGAAGCAAATGGGCGATAACCTTTAGTTATTTAAAACTGTCACCGTCCTTCTAGCGGGACGGCCTAACTTTACTTCTATATTTCTTTTAAACCCTAATCTAATTATTATATTATATATCGCTGGAAAGGTCTAAGACTTCTAAATACATATTCTACCCCTGTTTTGTGTTTCAAATTATGTAGGAAGAGTAATTGATGAATTTATGACAAGAGTGCACCTCAAAAAATATTTTGTAAATAATTAAATAATATTTGGTAAAATAAATATTTTATTTAAAATAGAAAATATATAGTACAGTATAATTTAATGTAAATTTAAACTTCCATAGCTTTTCATACTTTTATTTTTTGAAGTGTTTTCACTTCAGCAATAATCTGCTGAGTGTTTTCTTTAAAACAAGACCAAATTTTGGTATATATTCAAAAGCATTCTTGAATTACAACCATTTAAGTTTGGGGTTAATTCGATTATTAAATTAATTTGTAGATCACAATTTTTCCTACATATAGTTGACTTTTTAAGAGATAAGTGGATTAGAATTGGCTTTATGCACAGCTGCTCTACTTCCTGAACTTCAGCCAGCTCCTTGTTTCCTGTCTGCTATTATTGGCCAAACTTGATTAATTCAGGTGTGTCTGATTATTGTTGCCGTGACTACTGAGGTCAGTCACACCTGAATTAGTCAAGTTTGACCAATAATGGCAGACAGGAAACAAGGAGCTGGCTTAAGTTCAGGAAGTAGTGCAGCTGTGCATAAAGTCAATTAGCAGCAGCCTACATCTTTAACAATAAAATGCAACACAAACATTAATACAGCTGTAAAATTAATCCTGTTATATTGATGAAACTGCTATTAATATTAACCCAAAACATCATAATAGTAAAACACTGACTAGGAAAATTTACCACACTATGAGTACCGGTACCCTACTTTTATTCATTACATTCTAGTACTTTTATGTACATTTTGGTGAAAGAAAATAGTTTCTCTGCATTAGTGGGACACAGTATGTGAGAGAGGGATGACTTACTATCTGACCCTGATTATATAACACAAATCTTAACATGCAGAGATGTATTGATTTCAAATATAGAATTTAACATGCATGAAACTGTTTGAAAAACTACATTTATTTTTGCCTGCAGGTGGTATTGCAACAGTGTGGACTAATTATTTTTTACTTTTCCACTCTTTTTCTTTACATTTAGAGAGAACTACAGGATGTTGTTCACCTCTGGAACACTCACAGAATTCGCCCATCTAGAAATGCTGTGTCTCCACATGGACGTCCATTGATGATGTACACTCTTCCCCAACTTTTTGGTGCTAGGGAGTACCTTAAAGAGGCATCCCAACAGAAGATACAGGCTTGTAGGGAGGAATGTCGTGAGAGAGGACCATATCCCTGTGATAATACAGTGTTTGACATTTGTTGTCTTGCAATGGCAGAAAACAGTCTTCACCCACCAACCTCTCCAGAGGAAGCCATTGATCTTTACTTGTTCTTACGTGCTTACATACGTACCCAAATTTAATAATCATAAGTTGTTATACTGGATCAAATGACTGAATGTGAGCACCCACTCATAGCCAAAAACAACAACAGAATTTCAGTTTGGACAGAAAGACTGTGTTTAAGCAATCAATAATAGACAACTCTTTCATAATTGACATTTTCCAAATGAGCTCCATTTCATCTCTTTTTATTCATCATTATGTAAAAAATACATCTAAACCACACAACTGGGAACAATCCTGTAACTGCAAATGAAAGGTATCAAATGTTGTCAAAATTGGCACATATGTCCTTATGAAGGAACTATTTTGTATCACCAGAAGTGGTCAGACACACTTTGGGCTCATTGTAATCAGGGCAACCATGATGTTTGAATGGCCTTTAAATCAAACATATTATTGTATGTTGTTATCGTGTGTATGTGCTTTTACACAATTATTTGGCATCATATAAATAAATGGTAAACCAGTGCAGTACAACATTTTTTCTCCCCAGTGTGATTTACTGTGTACAGTATGTAGGAAATAGGCCTATTTGGTTAACTTGGTAATGTATGACGGTTTAAATATGTTGTCTAAAGAGTGCCGGTGAATGCAGGAACTGCAGTGCATTTGTCAAAACTCAGTAATTCTACTGTGTGAGACAAGATCCATGTGTGTTAAAGGTTTAGTTCACCCAAAAATGAAAATTCTGTCAGTATTTACTCACCCTCAAGTTGTTTTGAAGCATTCTTCCAAATATCTTCCTTTGTGTTCAGCAGAACAAATAAACACATAGAGGTTTGGAACAACTTGAGGGTGAGTAAATACTGACAGAATTTTCATTTTTGGGTGAACTAACCCTTTAACAGCAGTAAAGACTGATTTGTTTGAAAAAAATCTGTACAAAACCAGAGAGAAACCTGTGCTTTTTATTTGTAAAAAGCAGAACACCTTCTAATGTACAGTACTGCATGTTAGAACAGATTTCCAGTCACTGCCAATAATATTAAGATTTAACATGACCTGACATTACCTCAGGGTCCAAGTTAATTATAATTTCTCAATGAAAATGCAACTTTACAAGAACATTTCTTTTAAATTGTCAGAAAAAGTATGCTCCTAAACTGCTAACAGAAATGATGGCTTACATAAAAGTACATTTAAAACATTGGTACATGTCTCTAATAAATCACTTAAAAATTAAAATGTATTCACATGCACTTATAACTTTGTGTAAAAGACTTACAATTGTTTTGTGGTTAAGTGCACCTTAAAGTATATTAACAAAATGTTCAGCCACTCAATATGTTACTACAGGCAGTTTAAGTCTGGTAATAACAGCAACTGCATATGGAACTTTGCAAAACATTTGGCCATTGTCAAAATGGAACTTTTGTCCTCATGGTGGAACTATTCAGCATGTCCAAATGTGCTTTGACACACTTTGGGCCCACAACAAACAGGGCAAACTAAATGGCATTTGAATGGTGCCGTATCATTAGCAAAAAAATAAACAGATTATTGTATCTTGTTATCATGTGTAAATGTTTCTATGGGCTGGATATAATCAGAGTGCATCAACAAAATGTTCATCAGCCAGTAACCATGTTTCCACAGTACGGTAATGACATTCTGGATAAAACTGAAAATGAAAAACATAAAATAAAATAAAATTAATCAACCTGCGCTCATAATGCACCACCTAAGTGAATTACTTCCCCTATGTGCTCTGTCTCACATTCACACACTATCTAAAGGTAAACAGCTGGCACTGATAAGGATATAACTGGGCAAGAGGGAAGAGTACATGTGAGTGAGTGAGACACTTCTATGCAATGTCCATTGCATAGAAGTTGCTGGACAGTATAGCCTCCATTTCAGCTCGGAGGTCAGGATAACTGTTGTAAGTTGATGGCAGCTCTAAAGTTGGGCCACACGTATGTGCAATAGGCCGCCTTGATAACCCTTCCAAAGGGGTGAATATGACTTGAATGTCTTTAACGCAGATGACATCAGACCCTGTCACAAATCTCAACATCTTCCGGAGGCCTATCTCATCCAATCCCCTGATGTACTGATGTAAAAATCTCAAACTTTGGTTCTCTGCTGAAGTAGCTGGAGAGGCTGTGATCAATTTTATTACTTTTCGTGTTGATGGTTTAAGATCCTCATACAACTTCTGTATATCCAGCACACTGGGAAGAACTCCCTGAGAGTTGATTGTGCGACTGCTGCAATGTTATCCAGTGCATATTTCGGCTGCTGGATTATTTGCTTGTGGGCCACTTGGAGAAGCACAGCTTTCAAGTTCTCTTGTGTTGGTACTGTTCTTACTCCCATGCGATCCATAAGATCAAGAAGCTCATCTTCATCATCACCATCAAGGGCGTCTTGCAAAGCAGTGGACAAGAGATCACGCTCAGACTTACTAAGATACAACATTAGAGAGTCAAACAGTAAATCGGGAGAGACAGTGTGTTCACCAAATGTGATTGCAGCTGTAAAAGCTTGAGCCAGCCGAGAAGGAAAATATCCATGGTCCTTTAATCCCTTGACCATTATCCTACCAACAGATTTCCATTCTTCCTCTTGCCATTTTGGGGATAGGGATGGCACCCTCACATCTGCACCCTCTGCTGCACAGTCTAAAAACTCTGTCCAGAAGGCAGCATATACATCCCTGGACACGCCAGCCGCATCTGCCCCCATTTCATGAATAAAGCTGTATTTCACAGTGTAGGACATCATCGCATCATCCTTGAATTGGGTAATCAGTTCCTCCAAGAGATTGACTCTGTGCAGTTTCACTGTCACATGCAAAAGTTCATAAGTAGGACTTAATGGGCCTGCAGGCACTGTGTCAAAATGGACAGGAGTTGAGCTGTGGGAATTGACGTTTACCTGTGCCTCTTCTATAGGCTCATGGAAGATTGTGTCATCAAGATCTTCTAAAAATGGTCCACCTTGCAAAGGGCCAAAAATGATCTCTGATGTATCACACAAAGATGTGAGATCGACAGTCTCTACAGCAGTAGAGACAAAAGCTTCCACAGTGTGTGTCTGTTGTTCACCGTCATGTGATTTTTGTGTCAGCTGCTCATTATCTTCTGTTGTGTTTTTCGGTTGCTCATTTAGCCTCGCTGCATCTGTCTGTTCATCAGTTCCTTCTGTCATCTCTTCATCTGTGAACACTTCATCTCCATTTGTAAGGTGCTCTGTGAACAAGTAAAATCTTAAAATCCCCAATTTATGTGTCTCATAGAGCTCTCCCACACTAACATCCTCGTCAAGGTATGCTTCCTGAAAGTCAACAATGTTGTGAGTGAACTCTTCCCACTTTCCCTTTCTCGACTTCTCATTGGGGAAAAATAGCTTTTTAGCTTGTGATAAAATGTCTTTTTTTGTGGCTTTCTTGGAAATATCAAGAACTCTGGTTCCTCCACCATTGCGTTTTCTCACTTGTTTCTTGTCGTGTATCCATCCTAGTTCTATTCTCCTTGTCATCTTCACGGCCCTTTTGTTATTTCTCAGATGCATCTTTGTTGACTGCATAGAATGCTCCTGCTCAAAATCATGATCATGTTCTTTGTCTTTACTGCTTGTCAATGTGCCCATCTTTTTTCTAAGTTTTTCAAATAAGGACAGTCTTCTTAGATCATCACCACCTTTTCTCTGTTTTTCCATACAGAAACGTCTTGCAGCAATCCTATCACCATATGCTGGAATGTAAGCAGACATAGTGGCATCATCTATTTCTCCAATTACCAAGCTGTCAATCTGTAATGAAAACAAAACAATACAGTAAGACATTTTGGCTATCTTAAATCTAAGAGATAAGTAAAAACTCATTTCTTAGCAGAAGCTACAACTCTAAATTCTCTCTAAACTCTAAAAATTATTTCTATTTTTCTTAACTTGCTTGTCCATTTTTTTTCACATGGAAAGAAAAAGGAGCTAAAATATTAAGTAATTTAGTAAAACAAGTAAAACAAAAGTAAACAAAAATAAGTAAAACAAAAACTGCCATCTAAAAAAATTGTAACCATTAAGTCTGAGTGACATACTGATGCTGAAAATACAGTGTATTAACAGTGAAAATCCTTGACATCAAAGTTAGACAGGGGACTGATTACTTTCATGTATTCCTCTTTAATTATATAAACATTTACCTCAATTACAAGAAAAGCACTTCTCCCATATATTACTGCTATTATGTACTCCATACTATTGCTATTCCATAGCCTATTGATTCCATACTTCAGCTCCCAACCAAGGCCTGTGCTGGCATCTAAACATTACTCCATCCTTTTAAAGGAACACTCTACCGTTTTCTTTCTTTCTGGGGTTATTCACCGTCTCCCCTCCATTTAGATAGGTGGGCAAATGCATTTTTGTCTCAGTGCATGCATTGTCTTAGTTTGGCAGCGCCGCCGCTAGCTTAGCTTAGCAAAATGAATGGAATCCTATGTTTTCAGGTAGCATGTTGTGAGTAAAAGTGATTAAAAATACTTCTTTTGGCCTGCTTCTTCACAACGAGTAGAAATAGCAATGCAGGTTAACACTAGGCAATTTCCTGGGCAGAGATTGATTTGGGACTATATTGGGGTAAAGCACAGGTGAAGCACCGCTTCATAGGCGTAGAGATATCACACAACACCTGAAATAAAGCTTGCCATAAAGAACGGCTAAAGTAATGATTATGCATGAAACATTTGAATTGTTTATTAATAAACTAGTTTTTTCAGTCAGTGGCTACAAAGATAAAGTTGACGATGCAGACTCGCAATCTTCGCAGTAGTGAACGGCCTATAGAGAGAAATTCATACTTCATATAGCTATGCAGAAAGTAGCCAATTTCTTTGAGTTTTTAGTTGTTGTTTTTTTTATTGTTTTTTTTTTTTAATTAAAAGTAGACATTTCAAGCTTTCTATATACTTCTCAGGTCTGTGAGACAAGTAGATTATATGCTGATTTTCGGTTCATTTATGAGACACACTCCAGTTCACGCACCGGCATCTCTGTGTCCTGATTATATTGTCTACTATATTTGCTTCTTATTTATTAATCCAGGCAAATTTGCTGATGAAACATTGATTAAAATTAAGATACAATTTATCCAAAACAAAATTCAATTTAAAGAAAGGCTTTCTATAAAACAAAATGTAATAAGTGGTCAAAATGACCCATTCCAAATGTTTTCAGATATATTGGTATTCTACGATCCTAGCCTATATCTTACTCATCTCATTCAGTTTCCTTTTCATTTAATCAACATAGATGAAATTTAAAAAATAACATTATATTATTTAAACATAAATATATATAAAACGTAGGCTATGTTTAAGTTTGTTTTACTTATATTTAAGCATCACACTGCTCCACTTTGCTCACATGCTCTGGTGTGTGAAGTAGAAATTGGCTACTCTCTGCGTAGCTAGATCATATGAAGTATGCATTTCTCTCTATAGGCCGTTCACTACTGCGGAGATTGTGA